CAATATGAGGACAAACATTATGAGGGGAATGACCAAGGGAGATGTAAGATCACTCTCCAAAGGCCAAGTTTTGAGCTCCTTCTTGAAAGTTTCTAGGGTGGGGGCTTGCGTAATCTCAACGGGCAATGAGTTCCAGAGTCAGGGGCCCACAGAGGAGAAGGCTCTCTATTTCTTTTGCCTCGGCCACATTCTGAATCTGATTTCTATGGGTTCTAGACTCATTACGATTTGGGATTGTACATTGCAGCTTCATAAAAAAGTTGCTGTACTTATCTGTGTCCATTGTAACATCTTCACTCACCTTTGGCACTCGAATGATGGATGGTCTGGGTATATGCGTATGAAGTGTGACTGTACCACAACCTGACATTTCAGCAGACAACGAGGAGGAATCAGGAGCCACAGACAGGGATGAAACTGCAGCGTGATTGCTTCCATTGCTATTTGTGCTGGTTTTTTCGGCACAAAAGGTGTGCAAAACGATTTTCCCCCCAGTCTCATCTCTCTGGATACTTGGAGAATTGGCAGCTTTTGGGGATGGCTGCCTGTATACTGCGGAGCTCCTCTCAATGTTTTGGACTTCGGAGGCAGGTAGGCAGTTTGCCTCAGGCTGGTCAAAGGGAGCATTCTCCGTCACACTTCCAAAACAGGTAAGCAGTGCTGAACAAGGAAACGGATGCATCGTGAGTAATGCCAGAAAGTGGATCCTTTTTATCCCATATTTGCAATTCGCAGAAACATCACATAATAAAGAAGAAATCCTCACGGTGACAGCAGATAAACTTCTTGTGATTCTACTGATTGTTGAAGTTCTGAATATTCCATTGCTTGGAAGCCATGAGCCGGATAACCATTTTCCTCAGGTCTCTAATAGAGAGAGAAACAGTGCATGCCCCATGTCCTTTGGATATAAGCGACACAACTGTCGCCAAATGTTTCGAGATGGATTCGTACTCCTCATCAGAGATGTCAGTGATGAAACAAAAAGCTCTCACAAAAGAACCATTTTCACGGCAAGCTATAGTTTCAGTCTGTGGCTGAACAGATGATTCCTGGTGAGGTAGTCCTCAGTCAATAGTGCTGCATCCTCAAGTTACTTGGCTGAAGCAGCAGAAAGGATAATGTAATCTGATCTACCCAGCTATAATAGGATCAAGGTGTATCTCCGTGACATCACAACAATAGCATCAGTGGGTCTAGTTACACAACATGGATGTCTATTAACAAGAGTTCCAATCTGATATTCGTCACTAACAGAAATCAAAAATGTTTTTTTTTCCAAACTCCTGCCAGGTCATCTATTATTAAAGGAGGAAGCAAAAGGACTTAAAACTTTTGTCAAGAGGGGAAATGTGAGGCTAGCTCTGTTCTTCAGCTACAGAAAAATATTCTACCATTCTTATGGCGATGCACATAAAGACTATTGTGCTGGTACGGCTGTACCAGGAGCTCCAACTTTATTTTCTTTCTGTTATCTGTTTGCAGTCATAGGACAGGCCTCCTGTCCATCATAATTAAGCTTTGGTTCCGCCCCTTGTTCTGGGCTCTGGAGGGAAAGGAGCCATTTTTTGGCCAGTCTCACACAAGGTAGCCAAGCTATAGGACGTAGATCAGCTCGTCCCGTAGAAAAGCTTCCTTTCTCAATAACATCCGGGAATACAAAAACAGAAATTCCAGGGAAAGGGTCCCAAAGCTCTGGCTGAGAGCTCACAGCCTCTCAGCCTCACAGCAATGAGAGGAAAAACAGCCCTGAAGTTTCAAAGAATTCTCAGAGGGAGGACAGCATTACACATCCATTGAACTCCAGCTGAAATATCTTCAAGCCTCGGCTGGTAGGTCTACTCGATACCCAGACGCATTTGGAATCAGTAGTAAGACCCACACCGATGAGGCATAGATAGTTGCTAGAAGTCCCCAACATCTGGACTTATCACCTGTCCTCTACTAGGCAGAGAGCCTTCTCGATTGTAGCCCCTTATTTATGGAATGCCTTACCAGTTGAAACCCGAACTATCCGAGACCTACTTGCTTTTCGGAAAGCCTGTAAAACTTTTCTCTTCTGACAAGCTTTCGATGGGTGAATAACTTTGGACTATGTCTGTTCTTGTTAATTGTATTGTTTTAATCTACTGCTGTAAACCGCTCCGAGCCAAATTGGGAGTAGCAGTATACAAGTCAAATAAATAAATAAATAAATAAATAAATAAATGACAGCCTAAGAGAGGTTAAAAAGGGGTTTTCCTACAGAGAAAGTTCAGTTAATCAAAGTCAGGTACCAGTCCATTGAGGACTAGACTAAGAAAGCCTTGAAGTGTTGTTTGAACCATTGAAGATTTGTTGTTTGTTCCATAATAAAGACTTTGTTGTATCATTAAAGACTCTAAAGACCATCACTTCAGAAAAATCCCTGAGAACCTCTCTTTGAGGCGCCCCTGGCTTCCCGCTGGGCTTAAAGTATACGTCCTATAGAAAAGTACAGCTGTTACAGGCCCAGCGCGCGACAGAACAACTATTGCTTCCAACTATGGACAGTTGTTCTGTCCATAGACAGAACAACTATTGCTTCCTCCTTTCTGACAGAGTATAAATCATGTGCTCTTGGTTTTCTCTTCATGATTCCATCCATATACATTCCAGAATACAGAGTTATGGAATTTTATGGAATTTTATAACACCCTTGCCATTGAGAGTACTGTGATAAAAATTTAATTCCTGTATTTCATTCATATATTATCATATTTGGGGAAGGCAAACAAAGAATGATCATAGAATCATAGAGTTGGAAGAGACCTCATGGGCCATCCAGTCCAACCCCCTGCCAAGAAGCAGGAATATTGCATTCAAAGCACCCCCGACAGATGGCAATCCAGCCTCTGTTTAAAAACTTCCAATCAAGCTGAGCATGTTTACCCTGCTGAACGGCTCTCACAGTCAGGAAGTTCTTCCTCATGTTCAGAAGGAATCTCCTCTTTCTGTAGTTTGAAGCCATTGTTCCGCGTCCTAGTCTCCAGGAAGCAGAAAACAAGCTTGCTCCCTCCTCCCTGTGGCTTCCTCTCACATATTTATACATGGCTATCATATCTCCTCTCAGCCTTCTCTTCTTCAGGCTAAACATGCCCAGCTCTTTAAGCCACTCCTCATAGGGCTTGTTCTCCAGACCCTTGATCATTTTAGTCGCCCTCCTCTGGACACATTCCAGCTTGTCAATATCTCTCTTCAATTGTGGTGCCCAGAATTGGACACAATATTCCAGGTGTGGTCTAACCAACAGAATAGAGGGGTAGCATTACTTCCCTAGATCTAGACACTACACTCCTATTGATGCAGGCCAAAATCCCATTGGCTTTTTTTTTTTTTGCTGCCACATCACATTGTTGGCTCATGTTTAACTTGTTGTCCATGAGGACTCCAAGATCTTTTTCACATGTACTGCTCTCGAGCCAGGCGTCCCCCATTCTGTATCTTTGCATTTCGTTTTTTCTACCGAAGTGGAGTATCTTTTGTCCCTATTGAACTTCATTTTGCTAGTTTTGGCCCATCTCTCTAATCTGTTTCAACAGAGAAAGTCACATGAACAAACCTTTTTGGAACATTCCACTTTTTTATCTCCCATCCAAAAGAGCTGATGGCAACACATTACATCTTGCAGTCGCCAAAGCTTTATTCTGGGGGAGATAAATCAAAATGTGAAGTCATGTCTCCATGCTTGCATGGAATTATTGATGTGGTAGGGGAACAAGTTGTGTTTGCTGCAAGAGTCAGATTATGGAAGTCAAGATCCAAAAGTCTGCTCTTGACTGACTTTCAAGCTTTCACAATTGTGCTTCCAAAGATAGGAAATTGTCAACATTTTCTAATGTTACACCATTAAGCTGTATTTCTGGCATTGGAGAGGTATTGGCTGGTGACTGCTGGAAGAACACTTTGGTTTTCTCGATGTTTAATGACAGGCGTGTTGGTATGTGCAGAAGCTATTACTGCTTGTTGCTGTGAGAGCCACAACAGGTTATATCTATAACAAAAACCAAGGTATCAAAACTATTTGACCTGTTCAATTTTGTGGTCCCTGATCTGCCAAGACATGGGCTTCCACTCTTTGGCAAAAATGAAAATTTTGGATTTAACATAGCATTCCAGAATATAACATTTTTTGGCTTTTGTTTCCCTAAGGCCCAATCTACACTGCCATACAAAATTCAGATTATCTGCTTTGAACTGGATTATATGGCCTTAGAAAAACAGAGGAAAGAAGGATACTATTTAAATTTGTGGTGGAGTTCCATAAAGTTGGTCGAAGTATCATGGGGCTTTTAATGATTCTCTTTCTAATGTGAAAAGTTTTAGACTTCCACTTACACCCACTACTCCTTCCAAATGTATCCCTCTCAATGAAAAAAAACGTACTATTTACATGTTTTTTCTAGTATTTAAATTTGTGCCACACCTCCTTTTGAACAGTTTCCCCAAGCAATTAAATGAGTCTTTCAAAAATGTAATAAAATCACTAACAAATTCAGATGTCTAAGCAGGGGTGAAGAATACATGTTGCACTAGATGTTTATTCCCAAACTGCTTGCTATTGACCATGGAAACAATGGGAGTCTGGAGAAAGCTTGTAATAGTCATTGGTTCATATGTACAATATATGTCCTTGCATATTATTTTTTGTTAAACTACTTTCCAGGAAATAATATGAAACACTCTCAGCATGCTGACAAGCATAACTTAACAACTCCTGGAATGTGTTGATTGCCATGTCATAGAACCTGGTATTTTACATATTTCTGTGATAATATTTTAACCATTGCTTGCATTGTCTCTCTGTCTCTCTCTCTGGCTATGATGTATTGCATTGCTATAAAGAGGGTGTAGCGTGACTGGAGAGAAGAATGTAAATTTATTTGGTTACTTTTCCCTGTGTTTCTGCCACCACGTGAGGTAAGTTGTAATATTGTGAGAAATGGCACTTTGGACACAGAATAGACGGAGCTGAGGCAATCTTCAAATAAAAGTTAACAATTTTATTAAGTACACAGCGTGTGGTTGCAAGACGTAACTTTTCCTTGTTGCACTTGGAATAATACTTGTAACTTTAACAGTTCATTCTTTCAAGTAACACAGTATCTTTCTGACGTAGAGCACTTGTTTCAGACAAAGTTTCAATACAGGGATGTTTCCCTTGTTTGATCCTCCCTAGATCAAATACTAAGTAAACTATTCTTTAGCCTCTCCTTAGACTAAAAGAATACCAGCTCTGTTTCACCATTCAGCTGCACTAGCCTGAGAAACTTCCAATAGCCAAACCCAGCTTTTCAAAGCCTCAAAGCTTTGCTTCACAAGTCACTCCGCCACCTTTCCTTTCCTTCTCTCCCAACTCCTAACTCCTCACTCCTCTGAACCTAACTCCTGACTCCTCTGAACCTAAACCCAGACTGCTCACTCCTCTAAACCTAACTCCTCACTCCTCTGAACCTAACTCCTGACTGCTCACTCCTCTAAACCTAAACCCTAACTGATTTTTAACTGTCGTTTTTTCAAACTCTCCCCTCTAAGCTCCTCCCACTTCCCTCTCTCCTGCATCGGTCTCCATGGCAACGCACATGGAGGACTCCTCTGACTTAGGCAGCTCCAGCATTACTGCAGCCAATCTAAACACAAATACAGTTAAAATCATACAATTTATAATCAACTCCTGTACAAGGACAGTATTAAAAAAGCCCCCCCCCCCCACCCTTAAGAAGGCCTTACTGGTACATTATTTAAACTGTTATGTTTATTCATATCATGAAATAATGATACAAAAGGTTTGCTAGAATAGATCCTGAGCCCCCCCCCGAATCAAACTCAGCCCCCCCCCAATCAAACTTTGCTGCCAGATGGATCAAGGCGGATCAGCGCTGCTTGTGTTATTGGACCTCACAGCAGCATTTGATACAGTTGATCACAATCTATTAACTCACCGCCTAGCCATGACTGGGGTTAGGGGGATACCCCTTAAGTGGGTGTCCTGCTTCCTCCAGAATCGGGGGCAGTGTGTGGTGAGGGGAGGGATGGTTTCCAAGAGGTCTCTGCTAGTATGCGGGGTCCCGCAGGGAGCCATTCTCTCTCCTCTGTTATTTAACATCTATATGCAACCACTTGCCCGACTAGTGCGAAGCTTTGGGCTTGAGTGCCACCAGTACGCTGACGACACTCAGCTCATTCTGAGGATGGAGGGCCGGCCAGACTCCGTACCCAAAAATTTCCATCAGTGCCTTGAGGCCATTACTGGATGGTTGCATGCCAGCAGGTTGAGGGTGAATCCAGCAAAGACTGAGATCCTTTGGCTGGGCCGTCTGGGTGGGAGGGAGATCCAGCTGCCTACTCTGGATGGTGAGACACTATGTCCGTCATCTTCTGTAAAAAGTCTTGGTGTCTTATTGGACCCGCTGCTCACAATTTTTTTTTTTGTCATGTCAGGAGTGACTCCTGGTGTGAGAGAATTGGCCGTCTGCAAGGACGTTGCCCAGGGGACGCCTGGATGATTTGGTGTTTTTTTTTATCATCCTTGTGGGAGGCTTCTCTCATGTCCCCGCATGAGAGCTGGAGCTGATAGAGGGAGCTCATCCGCCTCTCCCCGGATTCGAACCTGTGACCTGTTGGTCTTCAGTCCTGCTAGCATAGAGCTTTAACCCACTGAGCCACCGGGGGCTGCTCACAATGGAGGCCCAGGTCTCTGCTGTGAGCAGATCTGCGTTTTTCCATCTACGTCAGGCTAGGGAACGACCTGGCTATGGTGATCCAGGCGACAGTCATATCGAGGCTTGACTACTGTAACGGCCTCTACATTGGCCTTCCTTTGTCAGTGATCCGGAAACTGAAGCTGGTGCAAAATGCGGTGGCTCGTCTTCTCACCGGAGTGCCGGCGAGGTGTCGTATTACCCCAATTCTCCAACAGCTGCACTGGCTACCGATTGAGTACCGGATCACTTTCAAGGTGCTGGTACTAACCTTTAAGGCCTTATATGGTCTGGGGCCGGCGTACCTAAGGGCCCGCTTATCCCCCTACCAACCCCAGAGATTACTCCGGTCTGAAGACCAAAATCTGCTTGCAGTCCCTAACATCCAGACCTATCATTTGTCATCTACTAGGCATAGAGCCTTCTCGATCGTGGCCCTTTATTTATGGAATGCCTTGCCAGTTGAAACTCGAACCATCTGAGACATAAAAACTCCAACCATCACCCAAGTCAAAAAAGAAGCACCATTAAATCCTTGGCAGACCGTGCAAAAAGAATCTGCGAACCCCACCCCCTCCAAGATGAACTGATCCACCCCAATGGATACTCCACCTCAGACATCAGAAGAGCTGCAAGACCAAGAACAAACCACGAGAGTAAAGATGAAGATCCACCCAGAGGAAAAGTGTTCCTGCCATACATCAAGGGAACCACTGACCACATAGGGAAGCTGATGAGGAAACACAACATACAAACAATCTACAAACCCACCAAGAAAATCCAACAAATGCTACGTTCAGCAAAGGACAAGAGGGATCCTCTCACCTCTGCAGGAGTCTACCATATACTATGCAGCTGTGGACAAGTCTACATAGGGAACACCAAACGCATCACCCAAACAAGAATCAAGGAAAATGAAAAGTGCTGCAGACTACTTCAACCAGAGAAGTCAGCCATAGCAGAGCACATGATGAACCAACCTGGACACAGCATATTATTTGAGAACACAGAAATGCTGGACCACTCCAACAACCACCATGTCAGACTACACAGAGAAGCCATTGAAATCCACAAGCATGTGGACAATTTCAACAGAAAGGAGGAAACCATGAAAATGAACAAAATCTGGCTACCAGTATTAAAAAAAACTCTAAAATTACACAGCAAAACAGCAGAGAGGAAACAACCAGGCACATCTTAACACCTCTCAACAGAACATTTTCCCAGGCTCAGCCAAGCCTTCAAATGCTAATGAAGGTGGTCAGTTGAAACATTCACACCCAGCTCCAGCAGAGAGCTCTTTGCCCCACCCCAGTCATTCCACAGATATATAAACCCATTTTCCTATTTCCAACAGACCTCACTACCTCTGAGGATGCTTGCCATAGATGCAGGCGAAACGTCAGGAGAAATGTCTCTAGAACATGGCCATATAGCCCGAAAAAACCTACAAGAACCGTCTGAGACCTACTTGCTTTTCGGAAAGCCTGTAAAACTTTTCTTTTCCGACAAGCTTTTGATGGGTGAACAATCCGGGCTATGCCTGTTCTCGCTGCCTATTGTTATTGCTATGGTCATTTTAAAGCTAATTGTATTGTTTTAATAAGTTTCTGTAAACCGCTCCGAGCCAAATTGGGAGTAGCGGTATATAAGTTGAATAAATAATAATAATAATAATAATAATAATAATAATAATAATAATAATAATAACCCTTCCCTCCCCCAAATCAAAATCCTGGCTATGGGCCTGCTTGCCGTATATATGCTGTGCTCCGCCCTGAGTCTCCTTTAGGGTGAGAAGGGCAGAATATAAATGTTTTAAATAAATAAATACTTCTTGAGCATTTGTAAATGCTGTCGCTGAAGTGTTGGCATGCTCTTAACTATTTGATCAGTACAGTAGAATAGATATAAACAGTGTTAGCATTACATTGAAAGTTTATATATAGATGTATTACAGAGCATTATTGGCAAGTCATTTGCAGACTGTTCTGTTGTATGTTAAAAGTACTGTTTGATTTTGATAGATAAGATGAAGATACATGTATAAATAGGAACCAATCATGTTATATATAAACGAGACTAGAATTTGACTCGAGGTAGGAATCCGAGCTCAAATAACAAGCTGAGGTTTCACATGACCTCGTATGTTCAGGTCAGCCTACAACAGAGGCTGGATCTACAGTGCAATTAATGCAGTTCAACTAGTATTTGGCCATGTAGATACAGTCTGTAATATTCTGGATTTTCCCCTTGAGAAGACTGTAGAACTATCGAGAGGCAATAAAATATCCAAGACCATACATGAGTAAGTTGCACATAATTCCTTGGAGCTTACTTCTGAGGAAATATGCAAAAGATTTGTGCTACTTAATGCAAATTTATTAATTTCATTAATGATTGCTCTTATATAGATCACGAGAGAAAAGGAAGAGTACCTTTCTCCCAAAGCTACTGTCCTGCAAGCAGAAAATGTAAATAGGGGCATCTTCCAATCCTCCCAATGTTGTTGGATTTATTTATTTATTTATTTATCGTGTCAGGAGCGAACCAAACAGTTGTATTGCATTAAAAACAAACAAACAAACAAAACACAAAGTTTGCAAACTTGGTATTGATTAAATGTCCTTTGACCAGTAGCTGGCCACTTGGAGTGCCTCTGGTGTTATTGCAAGAAGTCCTCCATTGTGCATGTGGCAGGACTCAGGTTGCATTGCAGTAAGTGGTCTGCGGTTTGCTCTTCTCCACACTCGCATGTCGTAGATTCCACTTTGTAGCTCCATTTCTTAAGGTTGGCTCTGCATATCATGGTGCCAGAGCGCAGTCTGTTCAGCGCCTTCCAAGTCACCCAGTTTTCTGTGTGCCCAGGAGTGAGTCTTTCATTTGGTATCAGCCCTTGATTGGTTCTGGGTTTGAGCCTGCCACTTTTGGACTCTCGCTTGCTGAGGTGTTCTAGCAAGTGTCTCTGTAGATGTTATAAAACTATTTCTTGGTTTAAGTCATTGGTGTGCTGGCTGATACCCAAACAGGGGGTGTGCTGGCACATCTGTGCCAGAAACTAAATTTTCTTTTTCTATGCATAGTTAGTTTGCACGTGTTTCTGTTAGCCAGGCATTTTGCAGTTAAGCAGCTTTCCCCAGGCTGCAGTCATAGGCTAGCAGCCTGCCTATCATCGTTGGGGCTTTTGGAACCGCCCTTTTCCCCAGGTTCAGGAGGGAAAAGGGGACAGTTTGTTCAGTCTTACAGTTTGAAGCCCAACTACAGGACGTGTGAGTTTTTCCCTCCTGTAGAAAAGTTTCGTTTCTTACAAGCTTGGCTGGGGAAGACAATTCTCATAGCTTTACTAAGAAATACAGCACAGCCCTTGTTGGGGTTAAAGAAACAGATCCACAGCATTCGTGGAAAAAATCCAAAGGACTCCAGCTGGAAAATCTTCAGAGTTTTAGCCGGTAAGGTCTACTCGGGTACCCATAAAGCAAATTGGAACCGGGAGTAGCGCCCCACGCCAGCTAAGCCTAAAAGACAGATTGCCCAGGGAGGGGTCAAAAGGATTTCCCTCATAGAAGAAAGAAACAGTTCATGAAGCTAGTTGCCTGTCCATTGTGGACAAGTTAAGAAATATTTGGTTGATTTGTTGAAGATCTAAGAAGTATTTGACTGATTTGTTGCACCAATAAAGAACTTTGTTAAACTTTCCAAGCTTCTAAAGACTTTGTATAGGGAAATTCATAGGGCCTCTCAGCCGAGGCACCCCGGTGTCCCGCTGGGCACAAAAGATCACGTCCTGTTAATAGACAATTGCTACAGGCCCAGTGTGTGACAGCACAACGGGGTGTGCCAGAGATGTCACTGCCTTGGTCCTTTCACTATTGGTTGCTACTTCCCAGCGGATGTCAGGTGGTGCAATACCGGCTAAACAGTGTAATTTCTTCAGTGGTATAGGGCGCAGACACCCAGTGATAATGCGGCATGTC